GACCTCTTCATGAAATCCGTACTGCATGTAGGGTCCAAATAGAAAATAGCCGCACAATTTTCGTTTTCATCTGGACACATTCCAGCAGCACCTGGTCTGTGACAAAGACCACATGTAAATGGGCACATCGATAGTGCTACGCTAGGTACAGTTAAACAAATATTTCTATCCAACCTTTGGCATGCATGGGGATTGACTGAAAGGAAACAAATGGATTTGCTATGATTTGCTTTCTTTAAAGTTATAAATAAAAGAAAACGACTGACCATCGTGACAATTAAATTCCTTTGCTTTACAACACATCGCACACGTTTTCGGACACATTCTTGCTGCGAAATCCTTAACCTTGTTGCATAGTTCAGGAATCTTATAATCTTGATCCCTGCAACAAATTCCTGATTGATGAAAAGGCGCTTCAACCAGTCACCATTTCTGTATTAAGTTTTCCACCACAGCTTCATGTGGAAAAAAAAATGTGGTTGCTGGGAACACATATACTCTTCAATTTCATTCTGTTCATGGGTTGTCGAGCCGATTTATCACTCGATTCGCTAATTTTTGAAATACTTCTGAGATATAGGTGAGAATAGAAAATGCCATTCAAACTTAGCACGATCAAATTGTTTGAAAAATAATATAAACTATTATAGTCATTCACAAGCAATTTATAATATTTAAAAAATTCATACTCTCTCAAATTGTTTACTAAATCATCAGGAGCGCGTTGATCATAAACAAATATCGATGAACAAACTGGATCCTCTGGACAAGAATTCACAGTTGGTCGTTTTTTATCACCAACTAGTTTAACACATTCTTCGATCTCCACATTGCCTGCAAATATGAGAGACAAAAGGGAAAACGGTAGGATAATAGCAAACATAATTTTAGATTCCGACTAACAATTTCATAAACGCATACTTTTATACAATCTTTTAATAATTGTTCTTAATGAGCGTCTGAACTTTATATTTAATGAATGAAGGAGGAAAAAAGCTGAAAAAACAAGTGACAACAAACTTAGCACCAAAAGCTATTCATAGAGAATGCTTTTAAAAGAAATAAGCCAGTTAGTTTATGCATAATTTGTCCTCTTACAATTATATAACATTCAACTATTATTTATAATTCCGGTATTTCCGGTGATTTCCAATAACGGAAGCGCGGCTAATTCCTCACATAATTTATGGATTTCAATAGTGCATTTTATTATTATTGTTATTGCAATAATATTAATAAAAATATAATAAAGTGTTAAATAATAATAGTGATAATTATTAAAATCTAAGGAATATTGTGCCAATACTACCAATCATGATTATTAAATAGCATTTCCAATAAGTTTACAGGCCTTTACGGTCAAATAAAGAAGGCATGTGGTGGGAAAGAATTAGGGCTAGGCGATTTACTAGTATCACACGTTTGAGAGAAGTTAACTCTTCGCATTAGTCGATTTCCAGAATTAGTGCACTAAAGGGAGAGCCTTAACTTTCCAAGTCATACTATTTCTCAAAAAACATATTGGGGTCGCAAAAACTGGAGATTTTGAATTCATCTGATCTATGAATTTATAATTCACTTATAGCCTACAATCAAAAATATTTAAGAAATCAATAGTTAAATTTGATAAAATTGCAAGATTTTAAACAAGATTTCACGGTTATGGTGTTTATTGTAATTCATTCCACCAGCAAGAAAATCACATCAATGGATGATGCAAAGACGTAGTAGAAGATTTGAAAGTGAGTAAGAAGAATTATGCTTAGAGGGTGATTATTGGTGATACGAAATTTAATGGTGTTCCACGGATATAGGTGGATTTCACGAAGCACTTTCAAGTTATGGTAAAATTTGAGCAAGTTTTGAGTATTATAAGGAATCCTCCGTTTCTGGATAGTTTTTTCGATAGGAATCTAAGCACATACATCCACTATAAAATCATTATTTTCCTTAAGCATTTCTTTTCCAAAATTTCCAATTCATTCAAAATTTTAAACTTAAATTTAAATTTAAATTTAAATTTAAAATTTTAAAATTCAGTTTCCATCTTTCAATAAATAGTATTTGTTCGTTGCATGAACTTAGGATTGCTTATAAGCATTAATTTCCTTTCATTCTAAAAAAAATTATCTGATAACCTACTAGAAATATTCGGTCTTCGATATTGTATTCATTGTAATGATATCATTGTTTTATCAGCTTTCTTCCTCGTTCATTCTTTAATTTTAAATGCAGACGTTTATTACGACAAATATTAAATGATTATATAAAAGTATATTTATGAAACTTGTTAATACGAACCTAAAATTATGTTCAACGTTATCCTACCGTTCTTCCTTCTACCTCTCGCATCTGCAGGCAATGCGGATATTGAAGAATGCGTTAAACTAGTTGGTGATAAAAGACGACCAATTGTGAATTCTTGTCCAGAGG